TTCTTGTGGCTGCAGCTACCTTTATGAAGTCCTCAGCCTCCAAAAAAGAGAGCAAGAAGAAAAAATAACTGAGATGGCCAAGAAAGCTAAGACACACTTTTTATTATTGTATTTTTTTTTGTCCTTTATCAATGCACTTCTGTGTGGAAATATTATTTTTTCCTTGAAATGGTTTCATAGACATGTGAAGCTAAACAGGTCATATCATTCTAATCTGGTACTCATAGTGTTACAGAACCTAATGGTTAAGAATTTTAAGAGCTACTTTTTCAGCAAGTATTTATGCCAATATCCTTTAAATCTCTATGTAGATTAGGATTATTGAATCTTATAATTACATAATTAGTGTAGTTACTTCATTTTACAAGAGAAAAAGTTGATTTTTTTTTTACATGAACATAAAAAGAGGTTGAAGTTGGCCTCTAAACTGTAATGAAGAGACTATTAGCTAGAGTATTACATTCACAACAAAGAAAGAGTATTAGATGTAAATAACACCTTGGTGCAAATAAAAGTGTGCTGCAATGCATGTATTTCCAGATCTATAGTACCAGATCAGAGAGGATCTACCTTATTTTTTTGTGTGTGTGTAAGAGTACTGTGTTATTTATTTCTATAAATATTTTTATTTTGTTTTCTTCAAGATGATACTGAAGAAATGCACTGTTGTATCATTTTTTTTCTAATTCTTATCCAGAGACTCCTATTTACTCTACATGTGTCATTCCGTGTTTTTATAATTTCAACTTTGTAAAAAGGATCTTCTGTAATTATATGTAGATACTAAGTGCATGTACTTGATGTATTGTCATTGTAAGATAAAAGGCAAACCAACATTGTTTTGAGATGTCATTTTGCTCTCTTAAAAAGTACTTAGTGTAGGAAAGATCTGCTTGTTCAGTGGTTTCCTGTTCAATTTGTAATTTTGCACATTCCTTTTTAGGTGATGGATAGCTTTTGCAAACTTTTGAAAGAGATTAATAAATTATTTTCCATTAAATATATGTTTGGATTTTGTTTCTTCCTTTAAAAGTAAAATATAGAGAGATAAAACCATTACAATGCATCTTCACTTGTGAGTACATGGTTGAAGTTGTTTAATTTTTTATTGTATAGTGTAACCTGCTGTATGTGAAGTATTTGAATTATCTGAACAATATCTCCTATTCTGAGATAATTAATCTGATAACTGCAACATGCCTCATATGATTAGGCATGTAAATATTGGTCTTATATGACCTAATATGCCTTTTGATAAATAATTCCGAGTTATTCTGAACAAAATACGATTTTGGGACAAGTAGAAGCACCATGTATTAGTACTAGTAGCTCCCTGCTAGCAACTTTAATAATAGCCATGCAAAAGTACATAGATATATATTTTTTATTGTTTAGTGCTCTGGATTATATATAATACATTTCATTAGAAGAAAAGAAAATACACTGGAGCCCTTAATTTTTACCATTAACCTTTAGCCTCCAGGTGATTTGGGGTTCACGTCAGGGCTGCCTTGGTTCTGGCTGTGATTGAAGGGTTATTCACATCATGGCCAACTTGGGTGTGGTTTCAGGCAATGGGTGTTAACAGTATGTTACAACGATGCATGCATAACATTTTATGATGCTCTTCTTAAGGTACTCTAATGCCCACATGTCACATACTTTGAGGCATTACCTAAGGGACAGGAGGACGATTGGCCATTGTTATGTATAAAGAGTGTGGACGTTTTGAAGTAATACAGAAGGGAAGTATTGAAGTCATTGGAGTAGCAGCCTTGTATATAACTACATACAATATCTTATTTCATAAGAAAAAGAACTGCAAAAGTGGAATTTATTTTTTATCCCTCAATAAAACCACATTCCACATTTCTTGTACAGTGTAACACACTTAATTTAATGAACTGGACCACAGGTTCGATCTAGCAACTAAAATGAATATCATATATCTCTGAATGTGCAGTAACATTATAATAATGTTTTGGATATATGTGATTCTAATAGAAGTCACATCACTTTGTCGGCATTGCATGGTGAGTGTGACACGCCACCTGCATCTGAAATAGGCTTCACAGACAAGCCCAGTCGGCTGTGCATACTACCCAGAGCTGAACCCCAAATTCTACTGGAGACATTGGGTTATTTATGTACTGGAGCAATGGCCAGATTTCTTAATTCTGCAGTTATCAGGGTGAAAGAGGAAGGCCAAGGTTGAGAGAGATCAATTTTTTTTTTGCTAAAAGTTACTCTTTGGTATAATATATATTCATTCAGAGATGCATTCAATCTCATAAGTAGTTTTGAGGAACATCTTACCCAAATATCACTCAACAAAATAGTATTTCAAAAGTGTGTGAAATATTGATGTTGATATAGATAATATCAACTAGATGGTACCAAAAGCCAGAGTAATGGGGGCTAGTCACAGGGGGTTGTAATTTGCATGGAAGTTTTATATAGATAGATAGATAGATAGATATAGATACAGATGATATAGATAGATTTTTTTTTTTATATACATACAAATAATACACATATATATAAGGGTAACTGTTTGAATCATTCTCAGCTAAAAAGGCAAAACCTACATTTTATAAGGGAATAAATATTAATTACACCACAGAAAGAATATCTCATTCTCAGAAAATTCAAAGGTTGGGTTTTGTGTGTGGGGAAATGCTGTGAGTTCTGTACAGTTGTATTACGTACATTTCCTTAATAAATAATCAGTTAATGGGAAGTATAACCCACTGGCGAGTTGGAAAGTATAAACAGTTAAGGAGTAGCGAGGGGAGGGGTGTCTATCCTTCACATTTTTTTTCATTTCCTGCCTATGTCAGCAGTTCAACCCCTTTATGCTTATGCCTTTACACCAAAAAGTAACCAGAGGTGGGCACTAATAATCATATAATAGTACAAACACTGTAAGCTATATAACTCCAAATGACCCCTCTTTTACCCTTCCTTCCTCAGGGATGCTTCATTTGCTCTTTCTTTCTAGCTTTCTGTTTTTCCTTTATTCATTCTCTTGTCTCTGTTCTCAATCTCTCATTCATTCTCACTCCCTCATTACTCACTTACTCTTTTTCTGTCTCATTCATTTTCTTTCATATAGATCTTATGAGAGACCATATTATTCAATTTTTCATGAAACAATAGCAACACTGCCCAGTTACTTAATTTGCTGTAATCACACTTGATGATTTCTGATAAAACTACATATCACATTTTTGTTGATGAGGATTCTTAAACGATACCAAAGAGGTGAGCTTGGGAAATCAAAGTGGGGCTAGCCATCTGCTTTAAACAAGTAGTTTTTAATTCATGTAGTATAACATAACATAACATAACATTAAAAAAAAAAAGGAACCAACCCCTGAAATACAGCACTGAATTCCCATCAAAATGTTCAATTTCAAGTATTTTACCAAAGCCAGAGTTGATTCTTGGAGAAATAGGGGAGTGGGGATTAAGGCAAAGAGGATTGGAGTCAGGGGTTTTAATCTCCAGGATATATAGAATATGATGATTATATTCTTTAAAAATATGAAGCAGTGATTGGGTCACCAGGCTTCATTTGTTATTGTGCACTTACATTGTTATCTACAGTACATGACATCCAATTAGAGCCAAGTGAAGGAATGTGTCTGACAGCATTGTGTGAAGTATGCTCAATAGTAAGCTCATACCATTAAGCTTTGGAGGGTGCCGGTCAGCAATTACTGTGATTCACTCCCTACGGTCCCCACCAATCCCTGGCTCGTTCTTGTGGGGGCTTAAGAGATGGAGACTGAGGCCGAATGTAGGGAATCACCCATACCTTGGACCTCACCTCAACTAATTTTGCATGATCTTTCCTTCTCTCCCTTTCCTTTCCCTTTTCTTCTTTGTCCCCTTCTGTCCACTTATCTTGGTCATAAACTAATTTTCACCCTTTTTGCCACACTTTATCATAAGGGTTTTAAGACCTTTGATGTCTAGCCCACTTGTTTTGATCCATTAACCATTCTGGGAATCCAGAAATATTGAAATATATGAACCAAAACATTTCCTTACCAGGGGGCTTTGCCCCCAAGCCCCATCCTATAGCTATATTTCGAATATACTGCTATTGACCTTAGATGTTGGAATGGCAGAAAATTTTAAATAATAAATACCCCATATGTTCCATACATAACTACCTTGTGAATTGGCTCCAACTCAAGCACAAACATTTTACTGGCTAGTCCATGGACATTACTATTATTTTAACAACAAATGATATACAGCATGTGGTCCCACAGATATTTATACTTCAAATATGATTACCCACTGATATAACCATAAATTAACTCAATCAGGTGAATAATTACAACAGTTTTTTTTCTAAGTATTTATTTACATAATAGCAGAAATATAAGGAAAGAAAAAGTATATATACCTATGTAAAAATAGCAGTTTTCTGTTAATATCACCTACACCTTCACCTTGACACTGAAGGAATAATTTTGCTTTAATTTTCCTTAAAATAACTTTTCAATTAACATGAACAGTATCTGAGGCAAGAATGAGATTCTATCACACAGTGATAAAAGCATCACAAGGTTACTTAATGAGATTGAATTAGTTTCATTTATAATAATATATCTAAGAAGAAATAAGGGTCCCTGGTCTTCATTTCACTACACAGAATGCATCAAATGCAATGGTAACAATTAATTGGGAGCAGAGCTACACTGCATGCAATAATGTTCAATGGCTTAAAAATTACTATTAAACACTAGAAAAGAGAGGGGTATCAATAATCCCAAGTTTCAATTGTTTAAAAATTAGTATTAAACACAAAAGAAAAGACTGAGGAATCAATATATACCTATGGCATAAGGTGTTCCTATGAATATGTTCCTTTACTCATTACCCTTTCAAAGAGGGTTATCATCACACCCATAGCAGCAAAGGCTTTGCTGACAGCCTGAACAACAGTTTACATTAAATCTCAATGCAGAGAGGATCACAACACCATGTTTATAGTAGTAGATTGCAAATTAAATAACTATCTGCTTTCAGGAAAGGAATGAAAGATGATAAAAGAGACAAAGGATACAAAACAAAATTAAAAAATGAAAAGGGGAAAGAGGCAAGGAAAATGGGAGGGGAGAAGACAGGAATGAAAGGGAAATCCAGGAAAGAGTAAAGAGTAAAAAAAAAAAAAAAAAAGGAAAGCAGGAAAGGGACAAAAAAGAGAAATTATCCCTTTGTCAATTACTGCACAAGGGAAATATGTCCAAGGAATCAACAGGAATGAAAATGCAATAAGGATTTTTTTTTTAGCCCTAATGAAATATAAAACTAACACATCTAATATAAAAAAGGAATTCTTGAATTGGCAAAATATAAAAATGTAAGAAACAAGAACCCACATAGGTTTACAGCTATGAATACCTAAATTGTAACAATAACAATATGCAAAGCCTTATCACTGAAGTATCTACTGTATATAATAATAAAAGTTATTATATACATACACATACATATGCATAAGAGTGCAGTGTTAAAACAGATTTTAGGAAAAGCTGTATGCCTGAATCTAAAAAAAAAAAGAGAAATGCACTTCTGATAATTGGTAACAAATTTTGTTTAAAAAAGAAAGAAAAAGACAACACACTGGTATCTACTTCAGCTGAGGAGCAAATGTTTTTATCATAAAATACTGGGTTTCTACAAAATACTAATAGCAATTCTTCAGAGCAAATGTAGTATGAAAAAAAGACAATAGTTTAAAAAATATATATATTTACACAACTAAACGGCCACAAGAACTACAAACAAAACCTACAGGCATATTGTACTTTATTTTTGAGTATTTAACTTCTGCATTGGTCCTGATATAGGTAAGTGACAGAGTCTACTGAACATCGATGCCTTCCAAACCTAATCAGAAATCAAGAAAAGCAAATATGCCTTATGCTAGGCTGCCAGCGGACAATAAAAGGCAGAGAAAGTAATGTCCACATGACTACTCTCTGAAGTCACTTTAGGAAAGACTGCCAATGGACACAACAAGCGGTCTGTCAACTAAAAAATATAAAATGTCAATACTAAGAAAGAAGTTACACGTTACAAAAGCCTCCCTGATGCAAATCCAATTATACAGAAAAAGAGGTGATTGCCAGCATTCTAACAGTCATTTGCAGAAAAAGGCAATATACCCAATGCCTCCTGAACATGTAACGTTCACTAAAGTTTTGTTTTGTGAAATGTGTTAACACAATTATAATAATGTTGTTAATATTACTAATGGCAATATAAAATCAGATCAGATCAGATAAAGAGAAAGAAAAAATGAAAATATAAAATGAAAATAAAATCAAAGAAAAAGGCAAACAAATGAGAAAGGTAGTACTAGTACTTGGCTTATTGGTGACTAAGTAGATGTGGTGCCATATATGTGTAAAGACAATAAACTAAACTCACAGTGGACACACCATGTCCATATATGCCAATCCTGTGAAAAAGAGCGAATTACTCATTCTCAAACATGTCTTGCTTTAAAAGTGTAATAATGAATCCTGTTTCTCCTGATCAACAATTAGCCTACTGGTGCTGGATACATACATTGTCCACTGTAGGTTTGCTCTCTCTCACTCTCACTCACTCACACTCACTCACTCACACTCACTCTCACTCTCTCACTTACTCACTCACTCACTCACTCTCACTCTCACTCTCTCTCACTCACTCTCTCACTCACTCACTCTCTCACTCACTTACTCTCTCACTCTCTCACTCACTCACTCACTCACACTCACACTCACTCTCACTCTCTCTCTCTCACTCTCTCACTCTCTCACTCTCTCACTCACTCACTCACTCACTCACTCACTCACTCACTCACTCACTCACTCACTCAGTCACACACACACAAAGAAAATAAAAAAACACTTCATCACTAAATTGCTAGGAAGTCAAATAATAGGCCTTACCCTGATCTCATCTACTTCATTCAATTCTTTGAATTTTCTAAACCTATTATTAATATTAATATTATTATTATTATTAACATTAACATTATTATATTTATTGACATCATTATTACTATAACAGTACTACAATGCTAATTATTGAAAATAAAAACGTATTTTCTAAATTCAAGGAATGGGACCAACAGGTGCGATCAGGTAGGCTTTGTAACCGTCTACTTGGTGCCAAAGCAATTTTGTGCAAAAATCCCAGTGGACAAGGCATATATACATAACCTCCCAGAATCAGCATATTAAAATTGTTCACTCACTACTGTATTCAGATCATTTTTTACTATTGTCGGGTTTGCTGGGGCTATATCACACCTGTTCTGACTAATGTCTGCAAGATAATGCTTCAGATTTTATTTTCTTGATTTTTTCTTTTATGAAGTAGAAGATCAACATGCTAGGGTAGATTAACAGGTTAAACTGCATTAAAAAAGATATAGGTTACATCTATAGTTAAAACCTCAGACCAAAACAATGGAATATGTTTCACCACACACTCAATTTAAAAATGAGCAGAGATTCAGAGACTGTAAACCTTCCTTAAATCAGCATTTATTATATGGACACATTTATTGTTTGAATCACTTTACCCTGATGCTGGTTGTTAACTGATCTACACATGTCCCTTTCTAAGTCACCTGATACTGAAAGTCAAACTCAGGAATACTTAAGTGACGACAATTCAACACTATCTACTAAATTCACTCGGGGGGTGGGGGTGGGGGATACACCGAACACAATAGCAGCACATAAAATTCTAAAGATAGTAACTCAAAATTTATAACATATCCATACACAAATATTCACAACTAGTATCATGAAGAGACTCTTGCAACACAGGCACACTCATACACACAAGCTGTAAAATAAGCTTTATCTTAAATTGATTAGGAAAAAGAAAAAAGGGAAAAACAACAATCTCTGCAGTTCACTTACTCTAATATTTAACCACTTCACTACCTCTTTGAGACTAGCTATCACCGTAAGAATCAATCTCTTGATCCTGTGGTCCCTATAACTTGAAAAATAATAATAATATTCACTCTGTCTTTACAAGTAACAGTAAAGAATAGCTTAAAAGATCTGACATATCACAGACGGTGTTTTACCAAACTGAATTGTGTAATTATCTGACACACAAACAATATTTATACCAATTTAAAATCCTTTCCCTTGTTTACTCAAGAAATCTACTGATCACGACACCCTTCGTGGGAAATACTGTAGCGCAGAGACTCTGTGATTCGTATGGAACGGTCTAATTTTTCACTGGAGGGAATGTTTTGAAAATATATACAACACTCAGAAATTTAAAAGAAAAATAGAGCTGGCTGTCGTCCTTTGAAAAGACCGATTATGGTGGATAAAGACGAAGCACCTTGTGTCAATCATTGTGAACATGGCAGAGAGCAGCGAGGCCACCGGCGCAGCGACTCCGTATTTCCGAGCTTGATGAGATCAGGCCGAATGAGGTCGCGGAGAGAGTCGTGGCGGTTCTGGAGAAAGGATGAATAAAAGATAAAAAGTAAAGTAAATATTAACCCTTTCACATTAGAAGCACATGTACCTACATGCCAAGTACCCTGAGATGTTAGTCCATTATTATTATTTTCAAAATTTTCTACTTGTATTATTAATAACATTATAATGATCATAATATCAATAATACTACAAAAAGTAATGCTAATAATGATATTAGAAACAAACAAACAAACTTTTTTTATAAGAATTTGAGGAATGGGATAATAATGTAAGGGCTAAGTATGATTACTAACTGACTCCTTGGCTAAGCCATCAATGTATATACAACATTCTCAAAGCCAATCTACAGTGGACAGTGCACATAGACAGTGACAATCAACATGTCATGGAACAAAATCCCTATTTCAGGTAAATGATCATGATGAAAGAAAGATAGATAGAGATAGATAGATAGATAGATAGATAGATAGAGTGAGTGAGTGAGAGTGAGTGAGAGAGAGAGAGAGAGACAGAGAGAGAGAGAGAAAGAGAAAGAGAAAGAGAAAGAGAAAGAGAAAGAGAAAGAGAAAGAGAAAGAGAAAAGAAAAGAAAAGAAAAGAAAAGAAAAGAAAAGAAAAGAAAAGAAAAGAAAAGAAAAGAAAAGAAAAGAAAAGAAAAGAAAAGAAAAGAAAAGAAAAGAAAAGAAAAGAAAAGAAAAGAAAAGAAAAAGAAAAAGAAAGAGAGAGATATTCTGCACTTCCAAAATCATACCCACTGACCTTCAGCTCGCTTGCAAGATGAAAGAATGTATCATCCACATTGGTGTTGTCCTTGGCTGAAACCTCCATGACTGTCATGATCTCTGGCACAACCTCGCACAGAGCCTCGGCCTCCCCAAATTCCACTTCCCGCAGGGTTTCCAGGTCGCATTTGTTTCCTGAGGAGTTTTGAAGTTTCAGATATTATCAAAGACAAATACAGAAACTTCTCTCTCTCTCTCACACCCACACACACCCACACACTAACACATGCACTCACTCAGGAACATGCCCACGCCCACACTCAAACACATACAAAAAACACAATCAAATAAACACACACACACACACACACACACACACACACACACACACACACACACATGCACTCACTCAGGAACATGCACACGCACACACTCACAAACACACATAAAACAAACAAACAAACACACATAAACATACACACACTCATATGCACATGTAACATTCATCCGCACGCTCAGAAGTACATACAATTTCTCTTTTTTCTCTCTTACCAATGAGAACAATGGCTACTTGTGGGTGGGTGTATCGCCGCACTTCATCCATCCATCTCTGTACACTGAGGAATGATGAGCGTTTTGTGATGTCATACACTGTTAGGAGAAAAGAAAAGAAAAGAAATATAGGTACTCAATGCTTTGTTTCCTTACTGCCCTTGATATGTACTTCTTTATTCAAAATCTTCTTAAAATCTAGAATTATAATCAGACAGAAACTGACCTAAGGCCTTAATGAATTTACCATCTAATGCAAGGGTGTCAAACATACATGCTGAGCACTCTTACAGAACTGCGACCAGTATGCAGCTACAACAACATCTTCTTTTACATAACTGGTGTTAGTCTTTCATGAATATCACTTACACTCTTATTTTGTTTTTACAGATCAAATAACCCTTTGGTCTTTGGTAAAGTATTCTCCATTGTATCTTAGATAATCAATATTTTTTATTATCTCTAAGAAACTGCATCAAATTTTTTATGTTATTCACAAAAGCAGTGATCACAAACAGTGCATAACATGTTATCTGGCCTGCATACTCATGCTTGTTTCCATGAGCTTAAACCTACCTTTTGAAATTTCCTAGCCTAAAAGGGGACTGGAACCTGAATAGAGTGCATGAGTTTGATACCCTTGATCTGATAAATTCAAATAATACATCTATCTAGCCTTGTTGCTAACAAAACAATTAAAAAATAACACATAGTTATAACATAACATCCAAACAATCTAAAAATAATTAGCACTACAGAAAGATTTTCCACAACATCCCCCCTAAAAAAAAAAACAAAAAAACTTTAAAAATTAATGTTACCAATTATTACTCCATTAGCAGAGCGGTAATAACTCTGTGTTATGGTTCTGAAGCGTTCTTGGCCTGCTGTGTCCCAGATCTGGAGCTGAAGTTGGAAAAATATAAAAAAAATTAAGGGAAAATAATATAATTAAATATATGAGAAAATAATTGTAATAATAATAATAATAATAATAAAAGAAAAATAAGGACTCTCTTAACATTCATTCAACAAAATGTTCATGATAGTTGTTTAGCATTTGGAAAAGAAATGAAACAGAAGAAAAAGTAAAAAAGAACAGAAAGAAATCAGTATAAGATATAGTAACATATTTAAGTGATCAAATTTATAGTGGCAAGGAAGGCCAGATATCATCAGAGGAACTTTGCCATTATGGAAAACTATTTGCATGAACAAATTTAAGATGTTCCTTCATAATTACGTTAATAGTTAGCTGGATTATCGTGAGTCATTCTACTATGGCCAATTAAATCACTAAATGAAAAATGTTAAACTATCATACAGTATGGTAAGACTAATCAACATTCAACAGCCATATCAGAGATTAATACCAGTAACTATGGCTACCGATCAAGGGGAGAATTCTATACAAAATAAGTCTTATGATTTCAAGTGATTAGGGTATGGAGAAAAAAGATATATTAATAACTTGCTGATGGACTTTCAGCTAGGAGTAACTGTGAGGCTAAGGCATGATGTTGAGCAGTACAGGTTTGAGGAATGCTGATTGATATGCATCTTTATGGCACGTCCTTGATGAGTGTACCATGACATTTTCAAGTAAAAGTAAAATAGAGAAAAGAAAAATTAAAAAGGAGGAAATTAAAGCAGAAAAAAAAGAAACACAGACAAGTGACATAAACATAAAAGAATGTAAACTAACCTTAACTTTTTTTGCGTCTACATTAACAGTCTTCATCGAAAAATCCACGCCAATTGTGTTGCCATGGCGTTCGATGTACATGCCTGATTTGAACCTCTGGACGACACATGTCTTCCCAACGCCGCAGTCTCCAATGACAACAATTTTGAATAAAAAATCAAACTGCTCATCTGCAGGTGTGCTGGTATTGAAGGGCTGGTTCGAAGTCATTTTGGGACAATGTGTGCTGCTGACTTGCTCTATGATTAAAGGAGAGAGGAAGTGTATCAGTATCATTGTATATCAGAAGATTGAATAATACATAAATATTAAAAAATGACACAAATAAGCAGAGAGTTGTAGAGATATATTATCTTGATAATACTGCATATTCAAATAATAAATACGACAAATAAGCAAAATAATGCTTATGCCAAAAAATCAACAGCAACATCATCGCAAAGAGGGGGCAGGAGACTTGCTACTACACACAAGTGTTCCTGTGGGCTGGGCCTAAAAGACACCTCTGGGACTGTTGCCATTCAAGTAGCTAAGCCTACTGCCCATATTTTGCTTCATGTGTGGTCTGCAAGATACTCAGATTCAGTGGGTTAAAGTATATAAAAGGATCACAATTACTTGGAAAAAATCTGCATCCTGTCCCGCTGGTTATAGCAGGCAGGAATAAGATCCTGAGCATGGAAATATCATCCTCCCTCGAGCCTGCAGCCCTAATAGTCATGGCACATGGATGGTATGTTCCACACTTGTTTACCGATAGGAATAAAGCAAGAGCCCCCTCCTAAATGCCCACTGAGTCAATCACCTCCTAAAAGTTAGTGCACTTGTGGTGAGTAAATTCCGTAACCCTGGTCTTCAGCTGAAATTCTCATGATGGCAAATTCCCGTCAACCTGGACCTTTACCCAATTTTTCCATGACTGTAGGAGCCGAATGTACCAAATACTGAAATGGAGTCAGTGGGAAAGGGGGTGACTGGGAAGGGGTCCATTGGCAATGCACCTGGCTAGGAGGAAATGGTGATTAAAAGGGTGGGTGGGGGCAACAAGCTATGGAACCCCTACATAACCTCCAAATCTCCTTAGGCAATAGTCATAAAAGGTCTTAGACTCCAAAGTTTGTGTTAGATTGGAAAAGAGAAGAGAAGAGAAGAGAAGAGAAGAAAAGAGAAGAAAAGAGAAGAAAAGAGAATAAAATAAAATAAAATAAAAAGAGAAAAGAAAAGAAAAGAAAAGAAAAGAAAAGAAAAGAAAAGAAAAGAAAAGAAAAGAAAAGAAAAGAAAAGAAAAGAAAAGAAAAGAAAAGAAAAGAAAAGAAAAGAAAAGAAAAGAAAAGGAAAAGAAAGGAAAAGAAAGGAAAAGAAAGGAAAAGAAAGAAAAGAAAAGAAAAGAAAAGAAAAGAAAAGAAAAGAAAAGAAAAGAAAAGAAAAGAAAAGAAAAGAAAAGAAAAGAAAAGAAAAGAAAAGAAAAGAAAAAAGAAAAGAAAAGAAAAGAAGAGAAAAAAGAAGAGAAGAGAAGAGAAGAGAAGAGAAACGAAAAAAACTAACTCCAGTAACTTCTGGCAACCGTTCTGCTTTTTGGCCCAGGTGTCTGCTACATGTAACGGAACTTTCTGCTGAGTACACCTATAGCCATAATCGGCATGATGACTCGGTTTGTTATGACGACAATAGGCATAGCTCAGCAGATACAAGTTAACCCTTTCCCGACGGGGAAAATGAATAAAAAAATGGGGGAAATTCTGTGTTCATTTCTTATTATTATTTTTACTTGTGCTATGAATATAGATGGCGTTATTTTTATTATAAACATTATAATTACTAAAATGTTATAAACATTTGTACCAGAAAAATAAGATAACATTAAATATTTTCGTAAATCGATGAAAAGGGTGAACAGGCGAGACAGGTGGTACTCGTAACTGGCTCATTGATGATTTAGTACAAGTGTAGCCATCTATGTGTAAAAACAATTAAACAAGTCAACTTACAATGGTACATGCTATGCCCGTCGGAAAGGGGTTAAGTATATCTAAAATGTGATGTGGCATCCTTATCCTTATTGTCACTGCATCAGTTATAGAGGCGGGTGCCACTATTTGTATTTTTAAAATAAAATACAGCAATAACAAATGTAGGAGACGGCTCAATTAATGATTAAAAATTTATCAAAAGGGTCCTCAAAGCTTTTATTATTATTTCCAAAATGGAATAATATTCAACAGAGGAAAATCTACATAAGGACAAATTGAAAACAGTCCTTATGTGTTAGGACAAAAGAAAAGACAGTTTTTGCAGATATGAATAGAAAATATCAGTAAATAAAAGAAATGACAAAATTAACATTTAACACTAAATCAAAAGGGTCATCTATGATTTTTCTATCACATTCAATGCAGAATTATCTTCAAATTTGTGTAAAATTGCATTGTAGTTTTAAGGATAGTCCTTACAAGCATGGGGCACTTCCACACCTGTCCTAAAACTTCAGCCAATTCTGAGATAGAAATAAAAAAATGAGATATGATAGTGATAACTAGAAATAAAACACCACAGTGTACATTACTACATTACTATTACTATAAGAGCTTATATTTCATTAGCAATATAGCATCATAGTACACTCAACTTTATTTTTCCTAAAATAGGTATGTTGAAGTAGCTTACATGACAAGTGATACAGATCAAATAATCCTCAAGTTCAGAAAATAACTCTGAACTTGTGTACCGGCTGCCGGCCGAATAGACTGTATACTTTTTCCTGTCCTTTCACTTTTTTCTGATCCATCTCCATATAATCCTGACGTTACATTTTATATTACCCTAACGAGAATAAGAGTTTCATCACGAAGCAATAACCTCTATTTAATGACCGAGTTCCTTTTCAAAACACAAAAATCAAATAAACAAATCCCGATAAAACACCGTTCCAAACAAACAAGGAAAAAAACACCCACAGAACCATCCCTCCCAAACAAAAAAAACACAACACGACATTCACACCCTTTTATTTTTTCAAACACGGATATCTATTGACAATTTCAATACCCCGTTCCTTCGTCTATCTTCTCTCAATTCAAAGCCAACTCTTCTAATATCTTCCACACAAGCGAGAGAGAGAAAAGGCCTACCTCAGCCTGGATCAACAGGTGGACGGAGAGAACAAGAACTTGAAGCCAACGAAAAAAAAAAGAAAAACACGGATAAAAACAAACCGTGAACGTTCGTTGTTAGATAAAAAAAAAATAGGGGAATAGTTTTAATGACATGTCTATTTGTAGGAATGATGTGAAAAATATGTTTATATATGTTACTTTTTAGTATTCGGATGGACTGTGTTTGAGTCGAAATAAGGTGAACAGGAAAACATTTTATATGAATGAATTCAAAATGTATTCACTTATAAAAGGTAACATATGATAGATATATCTTACTTATTTTCACTATCTGATTAGACGTATCTAGCTTTAGTTCAGGTGATTGAAATATATTATATGAAATTTCACTCAGTAGAGAATGTGTGCAACTTCCCTGAATGTGACGTCATTAATTATATATAAAATAAAAATTATATACATACATTCCACGTATCAATAATTATATAGATGTCGATGTTCTATAAATGTACATCAAACACATGATACAGTACTGAGAATACTCGACACGAACAACTGATTGCATTCATTTGAAATGTCAACTCAGTTACTGTAACTGTAATGGTTTAAATCAATTGAATTTTCAACACCGGTCCCTAAGTTTCAAATACCAGTGTAACTAACATCTTCCGAAGAGATTAAAGAGCGATATCAAATAATAGGTTTCTTTGATTTTAGAATTTATGTATGATTTCTTTCCTATTTTCAGGATTTCTTTCCTGCTATACTCTTTAACCTTCTCATTTGTGAATTTCAGTTTGTTCGCTCATTGGTTCCTTTCTTTAGCTTTGTCCTTTAATCTATCATTTTAAATTCAGTTAATACTTTCTCTCAAACAAAAAAAACACAACACGACATTCACACCCTTTTATTTTTTCAAACACGGATAACTATTGACAATTTCAATACACCGTTCCTTCGTCTATCTTCTCTCAATTCAAAGCCAACTCTTCTAATATCTTCCACACAAGCGAGTGAGAGAAAAGGCCTACCTCAGCCTGGATCAACAGGTGGACGGAGAGAACAAGAACTCGAAGCCAACGAAAAAAAAAAGAAAAACACGGATAAAAACAAACCGTGAGCGTTCGTTGTTAGATAAAAAAAATAGGGGAATAGTTTTAATGACATGTCTATTTGTAGGAATGATGTGAAAAATATGTTTATATATGTTGCTTTTTAGTATTCGGATGGACTGTGTTTGAGTCGAAATAAGGTGAACAGGAAAACATTTTATATGAATGAATTCAAAATGTATTCACTTATAAAAGGTAACATAAGATAGATATATCTTACTTATTTTCACTATTTGATTAGACGTATCTAGCTTTAGTTCTTCCTCTTTCCCTTCTCTATCTCTCACAAGATTGATTTTTCACCTTTTTTATTTATTCAACCTATCTTCCTTTCCTCTTTCCTTCTTCCCTTCTCTTTTCCTCCACTGATGTTCTCTTCTTGCTTTGCTTTCTCATCCCTTTCATTTCTTTTGATTCCCGCATTCCTTTAGTCATTCTTTGTGTGTAATTTGTACTTCTTCCTAATTCCATTTCGTCATTTCCCCCTTTCCTCTCTTCTTCTAATTTCCATTGTTTCATATCAAGTTCTTTCTCTTCCCTCTCTTCTATTTTCATTCTAGCTGTGTTCCCTTTAATTTTATTTCATATTTTCTTAAGTTCCTTTAACCCTTATTTTTTTTTCGTAAATATCTTCGTTCTTTTTCCTTCTTCTCCTCCTTCCCTTTATTTCTTTTCTTCTCCGTGCTCTCTCACTCTTCTTCTCTCATTTCACCAGTGTCTCTTCCATCCTTTCTCATTCTTTAACTCCTTCCCTGTTTTATCTTGTGTCTTTCATTCTTCCTCCCTTTCATCCTTCTCACACTTTCTTCATTTTCTTTTATCCTTCTCCACATTCTCCTTCTTCTTCACTTCTTTCTTCTCTTCCATCCTTCCTCATTCCTCTCCACTTCCCCATTTCCTCCTTCCTCGTTATAACTTCCTCTTTTTATCTTAATGTGATACCTTAAGATTGTAATAGTAATAATAATAATAATGATAATAACAATAATGATAACAATAATAATAATAACAATAATGATAACAATAATAATAATAACAATAATGATAACAATAATAATGATAATAATAATGATGATAATAATAATAATAATAATAATAATAATAATAATAATAATAATAATAATAATAATAATAATAATAATAATGATAATAATAATAATAATAATAATAATAATAATAATAATAATAATAATAATGATAAAAAAATAATAATGGCAAGGAAAATAATGATAACAATATTGAAAATAATACCAACATAGAGAGGGTAGTAATAATGATAATAATAATGATGATAATGATAATGAAAACAATAGTGGAAACAATAACCACACAAATAAAAATAATAATTATAATAATGTTAATAATAATAATAATAATAATAATAATAATAATAATAATAATAATAATAACTATAATAATGATAATGATAATAATAATAGTAATAATAACAGTGATAATACTAACAATGAAATATAATAATGGTGATAACAGTAACAATGATACTAATGATGACAATAATAATAACAACAACAACAACAACAATAATAATAATGTTATTGTTATTGTTAATAATATTATCATCATTAATATCATAATAATTATTATCACCATTATCAATATTATCATTATTTTCATTGAATTATTACTAATATTATAATTACTTTTAATGTAGATATGTCAGAGGCCTTGTCTTGCGTGAACAGGGATTTGCGGGGGTTAAAAATACACAGAAAATCTATACTAAGCATGGTTCTGTTTTACTAAGAACGTGTCACAGCTTTCAGGTTATAAAGAAAATGTGACAA